AGAGCAGGGGACACAAGGTTGAGAAAGAAAAGATTGCGTGCGGTACGTGGATTGTTTCGAAAGGTATTGATTCAGCATTCGCCTGGATAAATAATTTGAATTGGCTAAACTGTCGAAAACTGCTCATAAAATAAATATAAATATTTGTAAAAATAAAACCTTTAAAATATTTGAAATACTAACTCCTCAAAATGTCCCAAGTTTGTAAGGATACTCAAACTGTTTGGATAAGTTGAGTCATTTACATCCAGTCTAAGTTCATTTGATTTCAACCTACTCGTATTTAAAGTGTTTAAGTTTCACAAATTATTTTTGGACTTGTAAGAAGTGTTCGTTTTTATTTTTCAATATTACCTAATTTCTCTATTGTAATTTACAATTTATATTTTAGACATTTTGTTATGTCTTCTACAAAGTTCTGGTTTAGTTAACTAGCGTATTTTATAATTGGTAAACGAATATTAAAAAACATTTGTAGTAAAACTATATTATTTTAGTGCCAACATAAAGATTGAATAGGAAACATTTCTATCCACTTGGGTACTCAAAGAGCTTTAATTCATACGTTTTTTTATTGTCTACATCTGCGTAACATTTTCACGTCAAGTTTCGAATATACGAGTTTTATTCCTATATTCCAATTGTTTATATTACGTATATCTGTATCATTTTCATCTTCATCTTGTTAATCAAGAACAGAATGAAATACCTAGAGGTTGTAAATCTCATAGCTTATTTTCTATCTTTTCTGAACATGAAACAATTGTGGGCATTTTTCGTAACTACTGGAAATAAATTTTCCTTATCAGTAATTATATACTGTGTGCTCTTCCGCAACTTAGTACAAACATTGATAACAGTTGTTTTCACGTCATATTCTTTTCACGTCTTTTTCTGCTGTACTTTATTTATAACTTTCTACAAGATTGTCTTACTTACATCACCATTGAATGTCGGCGTCAAATTACTTCAGAAGATAATCTGATAAAAATTAAAATTAGATAAGATAAGATAAGGTACGATAATGAAGATAAAATTAGAATATGATTCGTGGGGTTCATGAGGTACGATTTGTACGATTTGGTCGAACGAATTGTCGAACAAATTGCGAGTATCAAAATATCTAATTGGAATAACAATAAAATGCAAATAATTAACAAATAAGATATTTTGTGACGTCAAATGACTCATTATGAAAGTCATGGATCAACGAGTCCTGAGTCATTACGTATTATTTTATTAACATCTTGAAAACCACTTTTATCGAAAAAAGAATAACAAAAGATATAGTAATAAAATACATCACAACATTTACTAGAAAATATATGTACTTGTAAGAATTTAATTTTTATTTCATAAAAATATATATTTATTTAAATATTATAGGCAATAACGGACAATCGAATGAAGGGTTTTGGGAAAGTTTCAGGGACAAATTTTACAAATTCGCTGGGGAATCGTTTAATGGGGAAATTCGCAGAGGAATTCTCGTTTTACTAGAATTGGATCGCGGATTGCATTCAGCAAGTCTTTTTTTGTTTAGTAATTGTTGAGCGAAGCAGCAACACTCATAGAGAGAAATTAGTCTAAGAAGGAACCAGTTTCACCAGCCTGAAAATAAAAGAAAGTTATGTTGAACGATGGCATTGTAAGAAATTGTGTCAAAAGCATTTACAAGAAAGCCAACTGCAAACAAACGCCTTAACTAATTGAGCACATGGCCAAAACCTGCGGTTATTCTACCAGCAATAGCCAAGTAGTAGCTGATAAAGTGGTCCCTTCTTACAATGATCACCATTTATACCATTGATTCATTCATTAGAATGAAAAAGAGGAGCTTTTGTATTTGTCAATCACGTTTACGCTCAGCAACTATTGTTTTTGGGCGTTTTCGTGTAATGTGAGGAAGTTGGATCGAAAAAATTGCTAAATCGTATTCTAATCTGTAGTAAATTACTTCCTCTAACATGTAGACAGAGTCAAAGTTTGTAGGTACTTGATAATGAAAAATTGATTGATGGCAGAACGCGTTTCTACACGCCAGTCCGTCCGGGCTCAACTCTTTCGCCTACACCAGCGTTTGCCGACTGAAGACGACACGACGTCGGAGCGCGCCTCCCCTCTCTTGCAAGAAGCTTAGAGAAGCAATGCGAGCAGAGGGGGGAGGGACGCTCGGCCAGTCTACGGTCACCGGTTACGAAAGCGTTGGGCCTTTGCCGGTGTCTCAGGCAACAGTAGTGAGAAACATCTACGCCCGTCAATTTTCTTTCCATTTGGGAAGATCTTTCTTTTTGTAAATACTGGAACAAAGGCAAAGATTTTGGTGTGTTCGAAAGAACTGCAATATGTTAAAATGTTCAACCTAGAGAAGCAATACGCTGCTTTGTGACCCAGAGAAATCTGCGAGACGAAAATAATTTCTGAGAATTGTCAGATAGCATGGAATCATGTGATGAGTACAGGATTGTGCAGATCGAAGATTATAGAACTAGTGGTGCTACAAAATGGAATAGACTTTCACGCATTAGTTTTCTATTTCCTTTGGTCTCGGTTAGCTATTTGAACTTGCCACATATTCTATCCTGCTGCCATCTATAGCTGCCCAAAGTACGTTTTTTTAACATTTTCCAAATTTTTCGGTTTCCTAATAGTAAAGCAGAAATATTTTTTAACATCATTAAGTAACAGTTAAACCTTGTCCTCAATGGCAATTTTCTTTGAAAAATGTTGAGCCAGTTTTAAAAATCTGGCGTTTAAACGCTACTGTAAATTTTCAATTTTTATAGAAACATTTTAAGTTTTCGAAAAACTTTGAAGTCATTTTAAATACTTTAACTCACAAATACAATAGTGTTTACAAAGTGCTGGAAATATGCATATCAACGGCGTGAGAGATCTTTCAAAACATTTACATTTGCGTAATGTTTGAAGAAAAAAATACATCAAAATTAACTTTACGCCATATTAAAGAGTGAAAATATCACTAACTGATCGAAATGTTTGAAGAAAAAATTGAAGCTGTTTTTGAGAAAATAGCGTTTAAGCGTTTCTGAAAATGCAGAGTTGTGAACTAGTGTTCGCAGAAAACAGTTGAGTTTTCAAGAAATTTATGTGACATTATTTAAAGCATATGTACTTGTAAATAAAATAATGTTAATAAATTGCCACTAGTGTAAATCTTAACATGAGAGGAAAGTGAAAAAAATACATTTTTGTAATTTTTGAAAAAAACAAAAGTATAGATCATTAAGGTCATCTTATAGAGTACATTTAGCACTATGCCTACCAAAAGTTTAAAGAAAAAATTTGGAATTATTTTTGAGGAAATCTTGTTTTTGTGATTTTTTAATAAATTGCATATATATTGCACGCAATATTGCGCGAAAACCACTAAAATTTTCAAAAAAATGTACATGACCTTAATGAGAGAACTCACTATGGATAACAAATTTTATTTGAAGGAAAAATCTCTATCTTCAATTTTGTAGTTGTAGGAAGAGAACGAAGAAATCATACTTTTGAAATTTTCGAAAGTTTATTTAGATTTAGATTTATTTCTTTAGTGAAAAAACAGTAAAAAACGTATGTGACGTATGGGGGAGATTATCTGCGCACGTATTCTTGAGTTCCACTATAAACAGGTGAAAGACGAGTAAAAGTTTAAAATAAAGAAATAAAATAAAATTTTTAAAAAATGCGAGATTAGCAATATTTTAAAAAAATGACATTTCCGAATCCGAATTATTAAAAACTTATTTGCATCGGTAAACGAATGATGGTATGGTATGATTTTTCTGCATTGCTTACAAAATAGTAACTCGCCCCTTTACCTCTACTCCTACCATTACAACCAAAAAGAGAGTTCAACAAACCGTGCGTATAGAGAAGCTATATTTACGTTCAGAAGCAAAACAAGCTGCTATCTCAGCATTTGCTCAATGGATCAGGGAAACTGGACAAAAACCTGATCAAGATGGAGGTCATTGATCCGGAAGTTGAAGTACTATATTTGTTACAAACATATTGTCTTTTTAAACATGTATACAATACAAATGTAAACTAATTCAATATATATCACCGTTTTGTTCAAATAAGCATTATTTATCTTTTTGATAATCAGTAAAGTCTCTAATTGTATAGAAACAGTTATGCAGCAGAAAATATTTTACTTTTAACTTAAATTTGTGAACCGACTTCAATTGTTTAATGTCCTCAAGCAATGCGTTATAAAGTAACGTATTGTATGTGGATTTCTGATAGTAAACTGTTTATACTGACACATGATAAACGTGATTTCTACGAGGTGTGTTGTAATTATAAATATCAGTATTGCATGAAAATATGTTCCCACCGTTAAGTAAGTCACTTTTGTCAAATCTTACAGATTTGTAAATATATAGGTAAGGCACTGGTAAAATTCCAAGTTCAGAGTTAACCGTGAAAATCGGTTAACCCATGCCTTCTTTATATGTCTAAGTAATTCTATTCTTACAAGAAATTTAAAGAATACATTAGACTGATTTAAATTAATTGAAGTTCAATATTTCGATAATGCGAGCTGTTTCCGTGTAATTTTTGATGAAGTATGACACAATGTAATAATTTTCATATTGATTTATTAATTGGTGGTAATTTTAAAAACCTAAAGTGTCTTTTATGTTAATGAGCCATATCGTTTGCATTTATAATAGTTGATTAATTAATATTAATTAATTAATAATAGTATGGAGAGTGGACATATTAAGCCGTTAACGTACTTGACAATGACAAAAAAGCTTGAGTGATCAGTACTCCCTGATCCTTCCCTGCGGACGTAATTCGGCCTCTACAGAATAGTCTTCTCATTCATGCTATTTGTCAAATATGAGCATACCTCTTGACATGGGAGACAACATGTGGTAGTTAACGGATGCCCCACCAGCACTTTCGCCGAATATCGTCACATTGTTTGGATCTCCTCCAAAATACGCAATATTGTCTTTTACCCATCGCAATGCCACAACTTGATCCTTCAGTCCCAAATTTTCGGAATGTGATCCATCTTCAAGACTCAGGAAACCTACGAAATATATTGTATTAAATAATAATAATAATAATAATAATAATGAAATTACACATAGATTTGTTGCATTCATCATAATGCATGTTGTAATTAAATATTCTGAATGCGAAAGTTTGAAAATTGGTTTTCTTAGCTAATCGATTTTGGGTTATATAATGTTAAGAACAGTAACATAGGGGTAATGAGTGTACATGCATTCAAATGGTTATAAATGATCAAAAACTTGAATTTCCACTATAAACAACGTTTTTCAGCAACTTCAATGCACCCATCATGAAAAGAAAATGTATAACGAATTGTTAATCGGGAGTTATGTTCTGTTCAGGACATTAGACGACATTTTTAATAGATTTTAAAACACTTGAGCATTCTCAAAGGCCACACCGCTCTTTGTATTTTTCTGTAGATGACTCGAGCTCCAGCTGATGACTCGGAAGTGTCAGTTCTGTGACAGCGCTTGGAGGTTAGCGGTAGTTTTCACTGCGTAGTGATTTATTGTTTTCCTACACAAATCCTAACAAAAATCACATGAGAATGATGTTTTTGATAGAGAAATTCAAATTGAGTCCATGCACTTTGAATAAACTGTTCACCGTCACCGAATATCAAAGACCACGCGCTATTCACATTCAACTAAATTCTCAATACACATAATCTTAATCAAAGGAATACCCAAGTATTTAATTTTTTAAATTATTTGTTTAAATATTTATTTATTAACGTCAAAAACAGTTAAAAACTGTGTGGGACGTGTTATGGGGAGAAGTTAATTTGAAGTTACATTTATGTCCAGATGCAAAACAAGGGGCCATATCAGCATTTGCTCGAGGATCAGGGAAACTAGACGAAAACCTGATCGAGATGTGGGTCATTGACCCAGAAGTTGTTACAGGTTCTTTACAATTATATAATCCAAATGGTATATATCACATTATATGTGATTGTTAAAATTAATATAACTTTCCTTTTGAATGCTCAGTAAGTCTCTAATTGTATAGAAACAGTTGTGTAGTAGAAAAGATTTTACTTGGGACTTACACTTTTGTATCGAATTTAATCGTTGAATGTCATCTGGCAAAGCGTTGTAAAATAATGTACATGTATTATGTGTGATTTTTTGTTGCGAGCTGTTGATACTGTCACCTCATGAATATGATTACTACGTCGAGTGTTGTAGTTATAGACAACGGCGTTTGATGAAAATATATTCCCGCCCTTAAGTCATTTTTGACGAAAATAACTGATTCATTTGAAGAGACAAGGTAATGGGAAAATACCTAGATTAAAAAGAGAGGCTTACAAAAATCACGTGGGTGGGATTTACTTATTCTTCGTATAATTCATTTTTGTAATCTAAAAGTCTGGGAGCTGTAAGATATATTTCCCCAGAATATTATGCCATATCTCAGGCTGGGACGAACATTCGCGAAATATACACAACTAGCAGTGTGGACTCTGACTGAATATAAAAGAATTCTGAAAGCATAGAATAAAGAACTTAATTTAGTATTCCATTCATTTAAATGGATTAATTGTACTTTATTAACTATTTAATTCATTGTACTTTTCTGGAATTCTAGATTCATTCTAGCATCATTGGTTTCAAACGATCTTCCCTCAGTTGGCGGGGAGACCAAATGCAGAAGTTAGCACAAGTTTTGAGACATTCCACATTAAATCAACACAGACAGTTTACATCACCATCTCAGATTTAGATGAAATTGCACACACAGGTAGTATGCATGAAGAATAAGAAAACTACATTGCCTTGTAAGAACCCGGATCAGCGTGGAGAGGTATATTTTGTGTCACCAGCTCGCTGACCGTGGCAAGCTTCGCGCCGTTGAGTGGGGCAAGGCCCCGATAAGAAGTCGGTAATAATCGACTTTCCTATTTTTTCTTCTTATCTTTCGCTACGGACTTGCCATGACTGCGAGAAGCAAGTTCGCTAAGACGTAGGAGGCTCTTGGCAGTTTTTCCTTAGTGCCCCAAGCCACCCCTTTAATGAGTAAGAGCAGTCGTTCCGTGTCATGACATCCTCCAGTGTAAATTGCGGTCATTAGACCCTGCATAAGTAAAAAGTAAATGCAGAGAGCAACAAGCCAATTTAAGTGAATGTCGTAATGAATGCTGAGAAAGTGAATGTAACAGAAAGTGCTTGAACTTTAAAAATTATGCTTGAAGCTCCCTTTATAGTCATCGTCAAAGTGTTAAAAAAATGTACTATTGTATTTGAATTTCTTAATTTGTCAATTTTCAACAAGTGGGTTTGGAAATTTTCTTGATTCATAATTCCTTTTCTAAGACGAAAAAGAAAAATCCATTATCCTGTATAAAAAAATTATTTTCGTATATTTTTTGGCTGTTGATTGTGAACAGGTCACAGTTGTGAACTTCTAACATTTACAAGTAAAGTATATAAAGTTAGAAATGGTTTCAATATATTTTATTGTCAATTATCAATTCAAAATAATTTTAAAATAGAAGGTCTCTGACACCTTTGAAATTAAATTAAAATGTATTTTCAGATCGTGCAAGTAGAAGGGATATTTTAAATGTTTGTTTTGAACTAAAGCTGCATGTTCCCATTTGAAAGAATGAGTCACGTGTGTAAACACACTCACTGGCAGTGGCAGGATAACATGTTGATATGCCATGCAACAATGCGAATTATTTATATATATATATTACTCTCCGACCACGCCCGGCAATATGATTTTAGAGACATTTTTGTGAAATTAAGGTTAGATGAGTTAGAGTTAGATGAATCAGAAAATGAAATTTATGTTATAATATTTCACAGGAGAAGCTCACAATGAAAACTGAGTATTCGATATTGTCACAAACACAAAGAATGAAGATTTGGAAAAACCCGTACATACTCGTAATAAGCTATCCACTGTTGCAGTTGATTGTGTAATTAAAACCCTCTATTAAATCAATCCATGTGAATCTTATTATTTTATAAAATCGGTGATGATTTAAATACCCAACACTCCAAGTCGATAGTTGATGCAGACGATCACGACTCCAGCTCCAACGAGATACTCCGGCCCGTACATGTCCATTTCTGCGCTGCCGTTTTCGAAAGCTCCACCGTGAATCCACACCATTACAGGTATTTTTAGTTCTTCGCCTTGATTGGGTGCCTGCAAAGGCAGAACTCACATATAAAATGGTTCTACGAGGACATAATAAAAGCTACATTTTTGGGACCTTCATTTATATATTATTTGTTTCATTTGGTTTTTGATTAAATTAATGTTTTGTACATATAATTCATTTACCAATACAGTACGAAAATAATGTCACCATTTATATCCAAAATTACTCAAATTACTATTAAATTTTTTACCCAGATTTTGGTGCCATTAAGTTTCGGATTTCAAGATCGTTTATTGTTATATATTCAGTTAACTATTTCCTAGATATATATTTAGATTGCAGAAATAAATTTAGACTTATTTCGCATTCCTATACGTACCTGTAAAAGTACCTTACCCTCCTTTGTATTTCATAAACCTGTGAAATTGAATTTTCTTTATTCATCAAATGAGAATTTTCAGGCAAATTGTTCATTTTTATAACTCACTGCTGCACATTATCAATAAATATTTTAGAATTAAAACGTCATTACTTAATTACAAATTTTAGTAAAATTTTAAAACATCAATATTTCTTTGTCAAATCCTCGATTTCAGGTAATGATCTTGAAGATAGTTTTTATTTTAATTAAGTCAAATGCATTCATTTTCAAATATAGTTTTTAAATAATGCATTCATTAATGTTATTTTCCGTGAATAAATGAGAATTAATTTTTATGAAGTATAAGTGAAATTTATTGTGTTCCATCCCTGTTTCCTGAAGTTAATAAGCTATCGAAGGTATGTGCGAGCTTTAATTACACAACTAGAGGGCTGAAAAAATGCATACTGTAGTGTAAGAGAGGAAAACATTTGGAATTGCCTCAATCTCGAATTTTTGGTAGAATAATGAGTTTGAGATTCTTTTGATCTGTAAGCCTGTATATACACATTAGGATTAAAGTAGTGTATTCGCGCAGTTCCAAAGTTTATATATGTGCAGGTGAATAAGACATATGCGCAATTCTTTATCCAAAAATCGACATGTCTGAACGGTAGGATTAATGGGCATGTCACGGAACTTGGTCAGATTAGAAGCTTTTCATCTGAAACTTGGTAAACATGTTGTGAGTAAGATCTGTGACGTTCCCGTGAGCATTAAAATATTTTCACTTTTGGGAGTACTTAAGACGAAGGACGTGAGACATTTTCAAATGTTCTGAAGTGCCTATGTAAATTGTTTTCTTACTTTTTTCCTCGACTCGCCCGGAATCACTAATTAATCAAAAATCTTTCAGTTATATTTTCAGAAGTTAAAATCTGTGTTGGCCATGAATAGGAATAGTATTTTTCCAGAATTTGTTAGCGTTCTTTTAATTAGTCTTTAAGAGTCAATACTGAACTACATTCAACAAAGTTTCCTAGTTTCCATGTAGTGAATGTATAGAACGATTAAACCTGTTCTGCGCGATTTGCTACCCGTACCTAATTTTTGGCGTGCATACTTACAGATCGAAAATGTCAAGATGTCTCCCACCACTCCAAGCCAATTTTCAACTATATTGATTTTTGAGGCTTGGTTGTTTTCTACATAACTTGCACTTTTTTATGAGTTATTATTGTGTAATAACACTACGAGGAAAAACGTTTCTACATACCGCGCATTCCCACTTGTTTCGGATTAAGAAACGATGTCTCTCACGTTTTCAAAAATGTTATTATTGGAGAAAACACGACTTCTTTGTTACTCAAAACCGTTGCGGAGAAAACACGACAACCTCTACGTCACACCGAGACACGTTGCAAGTCCACTGTAATGAGAGTGGAGGAGAGGGCTGATGGAAGCAACAGGAAGAGGGACGATGAGGTCGGTGGAAAGACGGCACGATTTTCTTTTGAGTCACGCCACCGGCTGAGCGTTTTTATAGCTCCGACTCTGGCCGACTGGTCCTATGGTTTGCGCCTCGCGGTTTATACGACCAATGTCAAGGGAGTGCCGGAGCACAACCACACATATCATAATTTAAAGGCACTACCACATATATCAGGTTCGTGGCTAGCTCTTAGGCGGCGTGCTCGCTTACCACTACGGGGTCCCGAGTTCGATTCCTGGTCGAGCCAGCACTATAGTGTAAACACTATAGCGTTTTTTCTTGCAATATCCGAGTATATATTGCTATGTGACAATGGAAAGAGGTGTGGGGATCACTACGTGCTAACAACACGTCTCCCCTTTCCCCATAGCCGAGAGGCAGTTACATCGCCGGTATGCCTGAACCCCTTCGCGGGTTGCCACGCCAAGTACATACCACACATGTCTGGGGACAAGACGGACGTGTACCGGCTGGGGTCGTGTCCCGTCATGAGGAGATACCTGAAGGGGAGACCCCGAAAATCGGTGTATGTTGCCGCTGGATGTCTTTTTCTTGTGGAGCGAGGACTACCGCCAACCGCCCTCCAAGCGAAACTAATGACTGGTATCCCTGTAACCCAGGCCGGTCTTTCTCCCGGCCGGTCCTCTTAACCTGAGAAGTGAATTTTCTCATCGTCACACACAGCACTGAGGCATTGCAATGAAAACGCACACTAGTAGATGACCCGCCGAGATAACAATCCAGTGGCGCAGGTTCTGAAGCCGCCGACCCCGTCCCTCTTGCGCCCTCACGGACTGGAGCGGCGACGCGTGGCGCCGAATATTTCAATTACACATTGGAAACGAATTGTTTTACTGATTTCTACTACATTAACCTTCTTTAGATAAGTACTTTATTTTTCGGTACAATTAAGGGTCACGTATATGAAGGTTGCAATGTAAGCATTGCCAATATCATACACTTCGGGTGTGAAATGAAATTTGTATTTATTTGCATTTCCCGAAGCATGTCCCGTAAAGGGCAATTGGCTTCGGCGTCGTTATATCATGAGGTTCTTAGTCGGTTACCCTACCAGGAATCCACAATGTTTCGAACTCGCTTAACCTTGGTGATTACACGTAGTTAACGAAATCGGCTAGAGGCACTGGTTTCGCGGTCGTCGCCTTTCCGTAGAAACATCCCAGTATTCGCCTGAATGATCGAAAGAAACGACGAAAACCGCAGTCAGGGTTTCCGGCACGGGGATTGAACCCGGGCCTCCAGAATGTGAAGTCAGCGCGCTACACCCTGAGCCACTTACGGTCGTGTATAACGTACGCACTTAGAGACAATCTTCGTAACTTTTTTAGTATAATTAGGTATCAGTTTGATAAACATACAGAATTATCAACGTTGATAATATCATACTTACTTTAGGTGTGTATACATTTAAATAAAGACAATCTTCGTCTCCCCTGTAAGGCACTTTGAATATTTTCTCAACTTGTGGACAAGGGGGTCCGTCTTCAAGAGCTTCTCGGACACCATCCCAAGGATCAGGAGGTTGGGCTACCTGTCAAACAAACGACGGAATTGTTACACTTGTAAACACGCTATTGAAAATTAATGGATGAATGAAGTCTCTAAAAATGTCTACGGAAGTTCAAACAGGTTGAGATACAGTTAATAAGGCGTCAGCCGTATTAAAATTTGACAAGTTACAAAGTTTTTTGATGAACTGAAACACTAGAGGCCCTTCAACTGAAATCGGCGAACGCTGAGCGACAAGTAAAGCGTGTGATAGTATGACGTATAAAGAAATTAAAAATCTAATTGAAATTGTCTGGAGTCAATGTTTCAGGCTGATAACCAAGATTTCAAATTTAATTACAATTTATAGAATGCAAGACAATTGAACTTTACAATGTGATGAATGCAGGCGCTGTCCGAATACCAACTTGAAACAACCAAAATTCCTTCTAACTCCGTCTAATAACGACCACTATGCTATGTATGCTAAGCACGTAGTACGCTAACGAAAGATGACAGTTTTGAACATTTATACGATACCCCAAAACCCTAAAAGTGTACTACTCCCTGATTGAAAATTACCTTCCCCCAGTCCTGCTTCAATCCAATTTAAGATGAAACAATAACAGTTAATATACCTACATTATTACGGTAATACATATGCGTTTTGTGGCTGTCAACCACTATCTTTATAAATGAGGTCTGTGAAGAAAGATTTTCACCAAGACGGGATGAATTGCATTTTAACATTAAAAATGTAAAAAACCCTAAACTTGATATTTTTGTCTCCCGACCGGCATGAACAAATTTTACTGTAGTTAAATAACTCCTATTGTCCAAGTGTTCTGGGGCCTTAAAACGTGAAGTGTTTAGACGGAAACCCTCAAAGGAGCGGTCTTCACACCGTAATCTATAGAATGAAATCTTCTTGGACATTCTATTATAGTTTTGCAGGTTTGACGCTTCTCAAACCACCACCCCACCTGTTTAGAGACGTGCAGAATCTGCAGTTGTATATGAAATTAAACTAATTACTTGATATTCTATGATATTGAATTGCACAGGTTTACCTTTCTGTTCGGTAAAAAATAAGATAATATTGCAAAGATCAGGGTTGAACTTGCCTGATCCTGTATATCCCGACCGGAGGGGAAGTAAAGCCGGCTGTCCCATGTTAGTAGATTTACTTGCATGTAAAAGATCCTCAAGCCTAAATGACGCCTCTGAGCTAAATTCAAATCGCCTGTTTCTCGCCCACGATATACCTCCTTCCTCTGCTAGTTAGTGAAAGGAGCGTAGCGAAATTTGCGTGGTAAGACGGAAGAGCGGGCCTGATGGCCCGAGTCTCGCCACGTAAAATAAGACATTAATTCAATTCAATTTAATATTTTCGCAGGGACAACTTTTCGTAGCATTCTTAAGAGTAAAATCCTTTTCTAATATTTTTGTGACTGTCAAGGAAAACGTAAAGCAAACTGTCAAGGAAGATCGTACAATTAATTCAAACGTTGTTTTTAAGTACGTGTTGTGAGTTGAAGAGCATTATCCTATATTGAAAAGTTTAAAAATGTATTGAGTTATACAAGGGAAGTTCAGACAAAACCCTCCTTATCTCAAAAATGCCTAGAATGTGGGATAGCTCCGTGTTTTACTAATACCTTCAATTGTTCCAAGAACATCTATCTATAATACTCAGTAAACGTTTATTGAACTTTTTTCAGATATCAATTGTTTTTGTTTTTTAATTTGATATTCTGTAAGTTCATTGGAAGTAAAATTCATCAATTTTTCAAACTAATAAACATGTTTCGTTAACAGCTTTCTATCTTCATCTTAATATGGAATAAAAGGATATTGACGAGGGTGACGTTCAACATGCGAGAGGTATCGCACGATACGCTAGTTATATGTAGTAGTTTAAAGAGAAGGCGCACATGCAACGCGCAACACACATTACACTGCAACACAGTGCCAACGTGCATAACTCTGTAGTCATGCCCACCATAGCCTCTTTAAAAACAGTTTTTTATGTCCTTGTAGTGACAAGAGTTTTATTCCTTACAAAGTTATCTACAAAATGAGCCTTTTTGGAAATCCGTAAAATTCTTCATTCCCCTTGGTAGTGGTAAATTCCTAATTCACAATTGCACAATTAACTAAAAATTGAAACTATTAAGTCTTAAATTATCATAACCAGAAATCCTTCAACTCTTTAGAAGATTTCCAACAAACACACACCTGTAATGTAGGCAAAACATATCGATTTCCTCAACGAATACTTTCAAGATTTCCGAAAGATAAATTCCATCCCCTCTAAATCACATAATATGTATTACTCCCACTCTCATTCAACTCGAATTTCTTAAAATATCTAATTGCAAATTTTTAGTTTAATAGAATTTATATCTTGTCATTGTCAATAATATTACTTCAATATTGTCAATAATCCTTATTTCATGTTCTCTGTGAGTTCCCAATCTTAGGTGATGTCAATTGTTAATGATAAAAACCCTGAAAGACATTTTTGTCAAACAGACAGAAATATTGGTTTTTAAAAAAGCGAGTTGTTTGGAATTAACATCCAGTAGAAAGAAATTTTAAAACAATGATTTACTAAGTGAGGAATATTCCCATGGGTCCAAAGTGCAAAAGGTTAATAGTTATTGTAAAATATGATAGTTTACTATTTTACAATAACTTTTCTGCTAATGAGGAGGCACTTTATTAAACTGTGGATTATATGGCAGAAAACTAGTGGAGCTACAACAGTACGTACTTTCTCTTACTTCGTTACGGTTTCGTAGTAGTGTATTACGGCAATTCCTCTCCCAATTAACATATCTCAATCATTCATTACTTTTAAAACTCATTAAAAGTCGTAGAATATTGGGTGCAAAAGCTAAATAATTTAAAGATATATCAACACAAATTCCTCAATAATATGCGTATTTGATCCTTAAAATTAGATTAGCATTACGACCAAGCGGGGGAGACGTCTTCGCCTGCCTCCACTGCCCGTTGTTACTAGCGCGGCATTGTTAAAGCAACAATGGGCGATTCGTTTGGCATGTAGATTTCACAATATAGAAATTGTGATATCGCTACATAATATTTCAATGCTGCAATTTATGTCCGTATTTACACATCTCTGTAATCAATACTCGTAAAATTCATTCCAAATCTTAGAACATTCGGTGTGAAAATTTATTTTTTAAAAGCTAAAACATCAACAAAAATTTAATACAACACAAATTCTACAAAGAAATACTACTTTTCAAACAGCTATAACATCTCCCAAAAATTAGAAGGAATTCTTGGAATTTCAAACTATGGGTCACAGCGCGAACAATTCCAATCTCATACCTCCTGAAAGTGTAGCAAACGAAATGCGGGAAATTCGAATCTGAGGTTTCCGGAAAAAAAAGTTAAACCACTCATATTTTTAAAAATGTACATGATGCTCTTTAAAGAACTAACTTTTGAGCAGATTTCATTTAACAAAAAAAGTAATCAAAATTATATTATTTCAATGTTAAATTATTGTTGTTGTTTGCAATTTTCAACTTTGTAGAGTTTTCGGAAATGGGACACGCACCACTTCATTTGCCATTCTTTGTTACATAAGAATAGGAAATTGAAAGAAAATATTGAGCCAGTTTTGAGAAAATAATTGTTTAAATTTTTTTCATAATCGCCTGCTTTACGCAAAATTATGCAAAAATTACAGTGTTGTGAGAAGGCGCCGATTATTTTTTAACTTAAGTTTCAAAAATCAGGAATTTTAAGAAACATGAGACCCGCGCCATTTCTTTTAAAGTTCTGTACGATATTCGAGACCAAAATATATTATCCACAGTGTTACAACAATACTTTCTCTATACTACGGGAGCAGTAGGCGGGAAAGTAAAAGAAATATATGTAGTCTGAAGGAATGTTGCACTCTAAATGGAATTTGCCGCTGGGGCGAATCTTGTGAATATCCTATAAATTTGTAGTACAACTCGTGTGTTACCGTAAAATAATGAGTCACTGAGGAAAACTACCGGTATGAAAAACGTTTCATGGCCCAACAAAGATGACTACCACGATCACGCAAGCAGTCGCATCAATACTGGCTAACTCATGAGATACAGTACGTTAAAAGGTGAAAATAAATTTCCTCTTTTTGATTTTGAATATGTTTTTAAAATTCATTTCAAGGGAAATATCACCATTACCGACTCGGCATCATAGAATTAGTATCAAACAGATTCATCAACTAATGGAGTAAATACGATTAGTAAGAGCTAAATGTAATGGACATGCAAAATGTACATGGTTCTTGTGAAGTGAGTTATTGGACATTTACGTGGTTCGAAAAGATGTCTCATAAGCAGAATTGCGTCTCTAGTTTTGTTCGCTCATTGAATTTGCTGTTTTCCAAACTACAGTCTATTCTTCCTGTTCTTCACGAGGCTAATAATATCAGGTATTGTGAAGAAACAGAAACACAAATTAAATTATTTCCCAATATTAATTTTCTAAGCCCTTCTTTCACCTCAGTATTTGTTTCACTTGTTTCTTCGTTTTCTGTGATACTGTGACTTTCAGAGAGCCTTCGAAAAGTACCGAGACTCCTCTTTTATGGCAACTGAATAGTTTATATTATTGAAATATATGTATTCACAAGGAGTCAAATAGCATATCAAATTTTCTTTAGCAGCAAATATTTTTCTTCCCCGATAATTAAATAAACCCTTCTGACATTCATTCACCCACACTAAAGCAACACTAGCACAACTCGCAAAATGTCCTGTTTGTGCCATCGATGAGATGTTATTCAGTAGTTTGAAGCGAGACATTTGAAGCGATTAAAATAAACTCCTGGAACGCTGAGGTGGGTGGCCTGAATTCTGAGAAAGTTTGCTAATCTGCCTACTTATGTCCTGTTTGGCGTTTTAAAATCTAATTGCCGGAATTGTTTTCAGAAATCCCAAATCTCGTGGGCGCTGTAGTAAAGGAACCAGGTGTCCCAGTCGATTCATGGGCAACGCAAGAGTGATGAATTCTAAATTAACAAGGCGTCTGTCAACATACACATTTTCAAATGTGTTTTTTTAGGTTTTTTAATGATTTTTGACACGATTTTTATAGTTAAATATTAAAATTTGCTGAATATATTCAATTGTGCAGGTTTTCTTGAAACCTTATCATTACACCTCACTTTACAGTGTATATACACGTAAAGTACATTTACAAATGTTGTTTGATAAAACAAATTCATGGAAATTGGTTAATCGTCAGTTGGTTCTAAACTATTTATAACTTTATTTGGTAACCATTGAAGTTCATGCGGGTGAGGAGATTTAGTTTGAAGTGAAACATTTTTAAAAATTTTAATTGAGATTTAACTGACAAAACAAAGTTACAAACACATCAAGGCAATTAACGGAACTTGAATTACTTAGTTCGATAATTCTAAAATATTACAGGATTGTTTATCGGTGAAATCTCGATATTATTTATTTTTCCTTCTTGGTCATACAGGTCTGAAAATATTCTATTTAGATACTTGAAAATTATAAAAGAATTTTGTTATCATGAACTTTTCCGTTAAAAAAAATATAAATCACATAAAACGTAGAATACAAAATAAAAATTTAAGAAAAAAATCGGACCCAATATACTGATCTTAAATACATCAATGATTTTATATATTTCGATAATAGATATTTCGAAAACATGGACATCTATGTCGCGCCCTCGGCCTATGTAAATTGGGAACCAAAAGGAAAATTAGAGTTAATCCATATTTAACTTGAAAACCGACCCCGAGAAGAGCGTACGTAATTTGCGGACCGACTACCTCATCCCCTTACAGGTAAAAGTGGACGGTGACACTTTAGTTTCGAACAGCATTTTTATACCTATTATTTTTAAAACAACTTCCTTCCCAATTTTATCAGACTAAGTATTGGCATTTTTCTTTCGAAATGTCATTTTGTTTAATTTGGTTTTCATTCATTTCAATCATTCGTTGACGGATTTCTGTTTCTGTTCTGTGAATTCTGTTTATCTTGGATTTTTTTCTTCCTTTTTCTCAACTAATATTCTATAACGGTAAACATGAAATTTGGACACTCTTCTAGAACGTTCTTTGCTTTTCATTTTGATAAAGGAGCGAGTCTGGAAGATTTTCAATAAGGCACAATGACGCGCTGGACATCAGCGCGTCGGCGGTGGCCGCCTCCTTAACGCGCTTACCTGCTTAATCCCTCTGTTTCCTTACCTGTGTTGGTTTGGTCCGCAATTTACGTCTAAAATAAAAAAGTTACATGTCGTTAATTTTCTATTTTCCTCTTGGTCCTCAATTTACGTCTAAAATTAAAACGTTTTGCGAGAAAAGATGAAGGGATTATTTAGCCCCCAATTTACTTACGGCAGGAAAAGGGATGTGACATCGATGTTCATGTTTTCAACTATTCCTGAAAACTTTTTTCTGTGTGCCTGTGATATTAGGAGCTAAACAGGTAGAATATAAAAATGGCAAGATAGGTAGAATTCATTCAATAAATTAATGATTCAACTGAATGAAAACCAACTTTTAAAAGAAATATGTCAGACAAATGTCGGGAAAATTGATAAGAGAGTTTGGTTTTAAAAATAATGTCATCTTCCACTTTTATCTGGAGGTAGTCGGTTCCCAATTTAAGTATGCTCTTCTCTGGACTGGTCCTGAATTTACATGCAGGTAAATTTTTCTTTTCATTTCCTCCTGGTCCTCAATTTACATATCGTTAATTTTCTATTTCCCCTTTGGTCCCCAATTTACATATCGTTAATTTTATTTTTTCCCTTTGGTCCCCAATTTGCATATGGATAATTTTCTATTTCCTTCCGCCGCATTCCCCTTGTGGGGCCGCGTGGCTCGGCCTACCTGGAAGCGCAGAGGTCCGACCGGAGGGCGAGCGTAGGGCACGCCGCGGAAGCTGAAGAAGGCGCGGCCCTTGCCGGCCCTAAAGGGCACTCGTCGACCCTTGAGCGCGCCCTGCGCCACCCGCACCACCACCACCTCCTGCTCCTCCTCCTCCGCCATCGCGGTCGTTCTGCCCGTGGGCGCCAACGGCAGGCACCCGCAGCCGCAGCCCGCAAACATCTGCTTATCAGCCACGCGCCCCACCTGAGCCCGGGGCACTTCGCTGACACTTTCTGACTCGCTCGACAAACTCAAGAAGCCTCCAACTGCGGGGCTAATGACGACAGAACGAACGACTTCTCTGGCTTCTCGATTCACACGTGCGTTTTATGGTTAGGAGAAATGGTTATGTTTACAACGTATTGTTCGACTTGTTTTCTTGGGAAATGATAAACACAGAGGTAACAGTGGAAACATACAGCTTTTTCTGTAAATGAACTCGTGTTGCAGTTTTCGGGCATTTCATGTACCGGTTAATATTTTAATAGTTTTGTTGAAAGGCCCTTTGGAAGAAGTATTGACACTTACATGTTATCTAGTCAACAATAGTACTATTGGGTATTTTTTCTTTACATAAGTACTGAACATATATTATGTGATAAGAGATACAAAATTGCAAAAGTCGATATTTATTAACTTTACTAAGTATCATTTCCCTAAAGTGAAAGTATTAAATTGTGTTTACTTAAGTTATTACAGCTGCGTACTCCAACGGATCTTCTGTATTCATTGTGTCATTAGAGTGTCCTTTACATTCGATACCACATGTATACCTACCCCCAAGACTACAAAACATTGCAAAACCATTACAAAATAGCTCGTCCCCTATTAAAACTCTTGAGATATCACTCACTCGATGTCACATGATCAGCTGTGATGTATCACAAGACGAAGGCGTGGCAAATGAGTTCGTGAACTGTGTCGAGACAGACGCTGAAGCCACGCGTGGCAACTGGCCAGTAACAACAGCAGGTCGCGTTCTAATCAAAGGTCCGCGGCCACAGGCCGCCATTCTTCCGCTTTTCGAGCGATAAGCACGGCCCGCTGACCGCTGTTTCTCAAGGACACTCTTTCTTTCTCTCTCTCTCTCTCTCTCTCT